ACCTACAAGCTAAGACTTAAAAGGGCTTCAGTACCAATGTGAGATTTGGCTGAAAAGCCCCGTTAGGTAATGTCACTTTATGTGCTGCTCAATAAAAATTGTTTCCTCTGACAGGATCCAAGTCAAATGAGCATCATTTGCTTGGGTTATAAAAAGGATATACACTTTACCCACCTTGAATGACCAATCAAGACAATAGCTGTCTAACTGGCAAAGTGAAAGGAGGGTGCAATTACAGATTAACTTTCCTAAACACTAAGTTTCAGGAAGTGGAATTTCAGTACTTACTTGACCTGCTTGTTAACAATAATGCCCACAGCATGCTGAGTAACATTATATACCCTTCCAGTCTTGCCGTGATAACACTTGTGGGGCATACCTTTTTGAACAGTACCCATACCCTGTTAAGAGGTAAAACAAGAATAAAGAGTAAACTTTAACTTGGGGAAGGGGAAAAAAAAAACAAAAAGCACCATCAATGACTTTTCTTTCAGAAGTTATTTAAAGTACAGATTTCAAATTACTTGAAATTCATTTAAAATACTCACATTTTATCTGTACATTAGAATTTATAGCCATGCATTTGTATCTGAAGACTACCAAACTCTGCTGTGAAAATTCTGGTTGCTTTCAGTGTCGGTGAAATGACTGATCACTTTGCTTTCAGCAAGCAATCACATGAGACAATCATCATCAAGCTCCAGTGTATCGAGAAGTATTAATTTTGAACAGTGCAGTTCCCAAAAACTCAAACAAAAAGCAAGCAAATTACACACCATCTTCTGTGTGATGGTTAAAACTCTCCTTTTCAAATGAAACAAAAGGATTCAACAAAGTAGGAATCCGTGGTGAAAGACTTTAAGATTCACTACAGCTTAATTTTGAAAGTACAGTGGATTTTAAAGGACAAGCTATAGAAAATATCAAGCGATGGAAAATGCTCCTTAACTCTTTTCCTGTATTAATATATATGATGTATCCTTACATTTATTTCTTAGTTTTTAGTTTTAATACGGCTTTGCAATGACAATCCCTGTACATTCTTATTTTAAGTATAGTCCTACAGTGACACAGGGTCACAAGATGTAATTATCACCTACACCACCATAACAACTCTTCTGAGTAGCAGCTACAAGTCAGGCAAAACAGAAAATCTACTAAAATGATGGAGGGGTTCCTTTCAAAGTAGCAGTAGTAGGCACCCTACAGCAATCCCAGTATTAGATATGGTACCTTTCACTCATGGTTTTCGGCTGCACATGGGAGTAACAAAGCACAGCCAAATGTTTATATATATATATATATACACACATATATATATAAAAATAAAACCCTACATAAACCAGTGTGACACTGACTTCTAACTCAGTAGCACTGCTATCCCAGTACTACTTCAAAAGTGAGTAGCAAGTACTTGTATATGACCCAAGTAACAACAAAAAAAAAAAAACACCTCAAGAAACTGGTGACTGAAAAGAATTACACTACTTTAGCTTTTAACTACCGATAATTATAGAAAGTACCTTGATATCAACTATATCACCCTTCTTGTAGATGCGCATATAGGTAGCCAGAGGGACAACTCCTGTTAAAAGACACGGATTTGGATACTTATGAAGCCCCCAGTTTCACACACACACAAAAAAATGGGTGGGAGACAATATTTCACATATAAATTCAATTTCAAAAACCTAACACTGAGAAATCAAACCATTTTTTAAAAGCAGTAATTACTTCTTCACATACTTTTAATTAAAAAAAAACCCCACCAACTAACTCAGGAAAAAAATACACCTTTACTCTCACCCCCAATGCAGAAGCTGGAAAGGCATTAAACTATTTATCACTTTGCTGTGAACGCAGCTGTTCCCACTGCACATTGCTAAGAAGCAAAAACTGTACATTTTGTAACTCTTGAAATATTTTCTTCACCTTCAAATTAATTCTCAAGCACTGACAGAATCAGTGTTGTTACTGTCAAGCAATCAGAATCCAATGCATAAGCTGCAAAAGCTGACAGTTTATTTGTGTATCATGCAGCTGTTTTTAGCCCAAATTGTCAGAAATCCTTTGCCACAAGCCACTGTTTTACAAATGCTACCTAGGGACTGTTAACATCCAACAGGCAGTGTTCTTACTGTAAGATATACCCACCATGTTTGCGAAATGGCCTTGAGAACATGTAACGTGTCCCCCTCCTCTTTCCCTTTGTGTTCGTCATTTTGGCTTATTACTGTAAAAAATGAATGCAAATTATTCAAAACCAGGAGTTGACTAAAAATCCGACTGACAGCATTTTCAGACACTTCAGAAAAATCAAGACTTCAAGCTTATTCATAATAACATCACTTCCAAATTGCTAGGTCTATTCAAGCAGTGCCATTAGCTTAGAAATCTACAGAAAGCAGTATTTTTAAATAAGGACCACAGGGTAACTCAGGTTACAATGGATGTTAGCAAGCTACCTAGCTCAACCTTCTACTTAAAACAAGGTCTACTATGACCAGGCCAAGCTGTGCAGGGCTTTGTCCAGTCAGGTCTTGGAACAATTCAAGGATGGAAAAACTACTGCACAGCTTCCCCTCTGGGCAGCCTGTTTGGAGGCCTTTGTCATGATTTAAAACTTTCCCCTTATACCCAGTGTGAGCTTCTCATTTTACCTCAAGCCATTTGTCTCATGCTTCTGCCTCACGCCCCTGTCAACCACCATGCCTGTGATACATGTGGCTCCTGCCACACGTCCCTACTGCACCCCCAAAAGCATCTCTGTTCCTGGTGGACTGAATCTAGCTGCCTCAGCCTCTCCTCACATAACATCCACAAGACATGACTCCTGCCCGTGGCAAGGGGGTTGGAACTAGCTGATTTTAAGGTCTTCTTCAACCCAAACCAGCCTACGATTCTGCGATTTACGAGACGCGCACATGCGTAAGCAGGCCAGACGCCAACCACCAGGCCCGTCAGCGAAAGCCAAGCCCCGCTGCTCCCCATTTCGGGGCCTACCTCGGGAGGCTGCCACAGCCGCCCAGGATATGATCGGGCCCGCCGCCATGTGTGCCACCGGCCCGGCGGAGCCACAAACTGCATCGCCGCTGGCCCCAGCGGCTCCTCCATCCCTCAGCAGTCTCCCGGCCCGGCGCCCCTACCCGCGTCCTACAGGCCGCGGCGCCCTCCCTCCCTCAGGCTCCTACCACAGCAAGGGCTCGCCGCCCCAGCCAGAGCCAGCGGCCACTCGGCCCCACCACCAGCGCAGAGTGACAGAGTCCGGCCGCCCTCCCGGAGCCGGCAGAAGCACCTGCGGCCCACAACCGGTGCTCAGCGAATCTCACCGCGCGTCCTGCAAAATGGCGTCCCGGGACGGAAAGAAAGAGGCGGCGCCGCGGCCGCACTTAACAGCGGGGCCTTGGCGGGGCTGCCCGAGCCGCGCCTGAGAGAAACTCCGGGAGGCGCCCGCCTGCCCGCCCGCCCGCCTGCCCGCTTGCCCGCTTGCCTGCCCGCTGGCCCGCTTGCCTGCCCGCTTGCCCGCTTGCCTGCCCGCTTGCCTGCCCGCTTGCCTGCGGTGATCCCGCTGCAGGCAGCTGTGGGGAGCAGATCCTGCTGGATAAAGACGGGTCTGTCAGGCTGAGCTTTGACCCGTTCGCTGGAGCAGGGACAGATACCGGTTTTGTCATGGCCGTGAGACGGGGCTAAGGGAGGCTGGCAGCGGGGTGGCAGGGAAGCGTTGTCTGTCAGGGATCCCAAGGAGCGAGTGCTGTGTTGGGGTGGCTGGCCTGTTGTCCATAAGGAATTACGTTTGGTCATTTTAACTATACTGAGCCCACAACATTAAAGAAGCCCACATTAAAGAGTCCAGAGGAGGCCATGAAAATGATCAGAGGGCTGGAGCACCTCTCTTATGCTGACCGGCTGAGAGATTTTGGCTTGTTCAGCCTGGAGAAAAGAAGGCTCTGGGGAGACCTTAGAACAGCTTCCAGCGCCTAATGGGGCTGAAAGAAAGCTGGAGAGGGACTTTTTACAAGGGCAGGTAGTGATAGGACAAGGAGGAATAGCTTCAAACTGAAATAATGTAGACTTAGATTAGGTGTAAGGAAAAAGTTCTCTGCTGTGAGGGTGATGAGACACTGGCACAGGCTGTCCAGAGGAGTTGTGGATGCCCCATCCCTGGCAGTGTTCAACCCAAAGCTGTCTGTAGGTCTGTGAGAGCCTTTTGCTGCTGTGTGTCTGTTACAGCTGCCTGACTGGAGACCACGTAGTCCTGGACAGGAAAGCATGGTAGAAGCAAGCCAACAGCAGAAGCCAAAAGGCTGCTCAGGTTTAGGGTTTATTATTATGGGGTTTCTTCTTATTATAATGCCATAATCTCCAATTGGTGTGGCAGATGTTCCACAAAGATAAATTAGGCATGGATTCTCAACAAAGAGCCTTTGTACAGCCACAGGTTGCATCAACTGTGTGGTGCCTGAAGATGGAGCAGGCTGGTGAGCAGCTTCCAGAGCTGCTGGCGTGACTCACTGTGTTTGTGCATTGTCAATATTCGAGCAGACAGGATCATCATGGGAAGCTGATTGCAGGGAATGAGTCAAAAGAGGACCTCCTTCCCCTGAGCTAAACACACAAGGACAGTTCAAAACTTGTCTCGGCAAGAAATTACCCTGCTACAGGAATTTCTGTTTTGAGTGAAAGCAGCAGTTATTTAATTTAGGGGAGGGATGATTACTTAAAGCTGCATATAAAAACATATTTGATCTTCTGACTAACTTCACAGTTATTCTAATGTTGTCTTGCAAAACTTAAGGCCTTTCTATCATTTTAAAGCTAGTTTAATATTTATTGGAAGAATGGATATGGAGGACTAAATACACTATCAGGTTCTGCCTGCAAAGCTAGCTGGCAGGGCATGTTATGACAGACAGAGGCCCTGTCTCCACATGAGACCTCTTGGAGTAGTGTTAAATTTAGAAAAAACATGTATGTATTCCAGCATGTATTTTCCATGAAAATTCTAAATTTGCAGCACCTGATATCTACACATTGAAAATCTGTATCATTTAATACGCATTCAGCCTAAGAACCATGAAACTTCTCCAAGCATGAAGATAGTTATGACCGTGAACTGCTCTTAAGCAGGGAACAGAACACTGGCAACAGACAGAGAGATGTCAGGGAGGATATCAAGCAAAGTAAAGACAGGAAGCCAAATACTAAAAGGCATTATTGAATAAAGGGAGATAGGCATTTTCAGTGAGCTGAACACCTTACTCTTGCCAAGGGCTGACATAGAGGGCATATCTCCACATGGAGCAGGAAGGAGAGGGCAAGAAATGTCACGTTAAAACTCCTGTCCATATATAGAGCATATAGGTGCAATTTGTGAGGGAGCAGTAACTGTGAACTTAACTCTCCTTTACTTGGGGCCAAGGAAGACAATCAGGATTTGCTACATTTTTTTTTCCTGAATAATTGCATGATGGGCATATTCAAAATTCCAGTAATGTTTTTATTCATAAAATTGACCTTGATTAGCATTTTCTGGGATCCTTGTTCAGCTCCACATTTCGAAGAAACAATCATCATGTTTGTTGGCACTGGGCACGCTGTCTGGGTCTGATCCAGAAGTCCACCTGTTTGTCCTATCTACCAACATTTCATACACACTTTCCCCAAACCGTGGCCTCCTGCGCACTTAAAGGCTGCAGAGCCTTTGTATGTTGCTCACAAAAGCATTTCTTAATAATGGCTGTCTCCAACAGATAAAGCTGCACGAGCTGTGGGGTGAGTTCTTGCCTGGAAACTGGAGCTAGCAGCCAAGCAGACATGGGGGAGACCTGCAGCTCTACATTCCAGACTTAAGGTGCTCTCCTTACTGCCCTGCCTCATCCCCTCAGAAACCCTGGCTAAACTGCTCTTCCTTTGTTCATCAAACTGCAGTTGTAAGATCCAGATTCCAGTTTCTCTTAGGCTGTAGAGAAAATACCATATCTGGTTCTGTTTCAGAAACACATCCTCAAGACTGGGGTGAATGTGAGTGGCAACGCCCATCTTAACATGAAGATCTAAAACCCCATGAAGGTCCCAGGTAGGTGCTCCACCCATTAATGTGCTCTGTAAATCTACTACACCATGGTAGACTGTGTTTTCCTCCCACTCTCTCTGGCTTGGAGGTAGAGCAAGACAGGGAAAGCAGCTTCAGTGAGAGCCAATTCAAAGTTGCTGGGGAAAGGAGTTTGAAAGGGAGGGCTCATTAGAAGTCAGAGGAGTGGGGACTAGATAAACACTTTGTTTTTCAGAGTGGAAAGTACCATGCCAAAAAAATAAATAAACCCCAAACATTTCCTGTCCCCAGTCAGGATTCTGGTATCTTCTCTGGGAGAGCCCCATTTTTTTTCTGACACTTCTCTGCAGCATCTGGCCAACAGCTCTCTCCAAAGAATAAATGTGCTATGATGATTCTGCACATGGGGTTGTCAGGAATCCTTCACTGAAATTTTAATGCACAGTGGGATCTGGCTCGCTCCTACGCTCAGAGGACCAAGTGATACACAGAGAGATCTGGAGTGTGACATTCCATTTGTGTTAGGTTATTCAGCAGTGGTGTGGAAGGAATTTAAATTAATGAGAGTTTGTAAAGGGTCCTGAGGTGAAAAATTAAAAATATTCCCCTTCAGTAGGGTGTAGATCTCCTGTGTCTCACATGATGCATTCATTGCACAATAAAATATAGCTAATTAGGACTGGAGCAAAATTTTAACAGAAATAACTGAGAATAGGTGTTAAATAAAGAGAATTGAAATCTGCAGTTCCTCGTGATAACACTGCAAAACAAGGAGTCTAAATTGAAAATCAAGATTGTGAAGTTAATTGGCTGCCCCGTCGCACTTTTGATCAGAAAGTTACTGACCAAAGTCATCTGTGTCACCTCTTGAGTTGACCCTTTTGTTCTGCTCTTTCCTCTTTCCAAAGGAATTGAGTTATGTGGCATCTCAAAGTCATGCTTCTGCTCCCTTTCATGAACTCTTTAGCTCCCTGATGATTCTATCTCTAACAACATTTTATTTCTGGTTGCCCAGCTCCTCATCCACAAAACCCACTCTGTAAATATAAGCCTGAGCCTAGTTTCATGGGAATTAAAATCAATAAAAGTTGAGTCTAAGCAGCAATTCACCTTCCAAAACTGGCTGTACAGACAGACTCCTTCAATGTGTCTGCTGTGGAATTGCAGAGGTGCCTCTACAAGTGGCTGTACTGAGCTGTGTTGCCAGTGAGGCATTCCATGGAGAGAGGAATGGGAAATTCCTTTCTCAAAGACACAACACGTCTTTGAGAGAAATACAAAGGCAAAAACTGCATAGACCAAGAATTGTGATGGGGCCCACCATGTCACACATGGGGGAAAGTTTTTGTTACACCGAGGTTACATATATATTAATTCAAAATGTTACTAGATGCAGGTAGATTGATACCAAAGCCAAACAAATGGCCTTTTTTTTACATCATTATCTTGACTGCCACAGAAAATCTGATATATGAACAAGTTCTGTCATTCAGCTGCTTATTTGAGTAACATGGCATTCTACTTGTGTTTGTACATCAGTGAATACAGCATTACTGACCATGCAGAAGTCATCAGGATCTTCCAAGTACTCTGTTGTGTAACTGACCAGCTTCTCATGGGTACCAAATAATACGATCAATTTATCAAACTTCATTTTAAAAGCAGTTAACATCCCTTTCCTACCTTACTAATGGAGTGGCTGCTCAGGAAGCTGGTTTCCTCAATGCATCATTTTCTCAGATTCCTCGTGGTACCACTGTTTTGAGGTCACCTGTCCCTGTGTAACCTCCCCCGAGTCCAACCCATCAAGCTAGGTACAAGCAACTCCTCAAATTGTCACCATCAGCTTGCTGTTTATTTAGCTGTTTTCACTGCATGCGATTAGCCACGTTGGTTGACATAGCTGATAATTACAGATACCTTTCGCTCCTTTTTCATGGCAGAACTGAGCTGCTGCGAGAAGTAAATCTGCATAAGATGGGGATTTTTGTGGGGCTTTTCTTTTGATAACGTATTGAATACAAATATAGAATTAGCAGTAAACTATACTTTTAAAAATCTGTTTTTTCACAATCCCCATTAAGCTCTTTGCTGGCCCTCTTGGGAGCTGTTCACTACAGCTGAAGAAACACCTGGCTTAATGATTAAGAACATACTGCTATTTTCTCTTTATTTGTTCATGTCTGGTCTTACATGTACTTTTAGCTGGAAGAACAACAATGCTTGCCATTTTTCTGTGATTGTTTACACAGAAGAATACCCCTTTACACCTTCATTGTACTAAACTAAATAATCCAGGCTCTTGGAGCCTCCAGACACATGGCACTCTCTGTGCATTTGCTCTCATTCCCACACATCTCTCTTGAGTATCAGTGACCAGATTTGTACACAACAGTCCCAGTTAGCTTACTTAATGTGCACCCATTATTTCTGAGATGCTTCCTGTTATTACTGAAATTATCACAATCCACAAAACATAAAGCTCCTGGGGTTGATATTTTGTTTGTTTGTTTTTTTGCTGGCTATAGATGTTTCAGTGCTTGTCCTTAACCTGCTAGCTGGGAACTAAGAGACAACATTTAATCTTAAACAGTCAGCAGTGGCAGGCCTCAGTGATTTTGTTGGCACAAGGTCAGTTCTCACACATTGATGATTTTGCTCAGGTAAAACTTGAAGTGTCTTCGAGGAACTTTTGCCCATAAGGAATAAACAGGACAGAAAATTGGCCTTTAATCACTTTAAAATAGACTGGCCAAACCAAAACAAATACACTGTAAGAAAAGCTGCAGGCTGGCAGATTTAGTTGACCTTTTCCTCATCTGATTTCTAGCATGTGACTATTTTATTCACTACAAAGTATAATTTTAACAGAAGCTTAACCTGTGCCAATTAGTCTTTCAAGACAGGCTTAACTTTGGAGGGCAAAGTAATTCAGTTTTAAGTAGATCCCAATATAAACTTTGCTGCTGAAATGTGATACCTGATCTAAAGTATCACATATAAGAACAGTTTATTGTAATGGCACTCTGAGTTTGAACTGATGAAATCTCACTGAAACTATATTACAAAATGGCTTTTTGGTGCTAATTCTCAGGTGAGTTTGCAGATGACACCTAATTGTTGGGAGTGGTCAAATCCTTGGAGGGCAGGGCTGCTACTGAAAGGGACTGGGACAGGCTGGAGAAATGGGCTGCGGGAACCCTGAAGTTTGGTACAAGCAAGCACAAAGTCCTACACTTGGGTTGGAATAACTCCACACAACAGGACAGGCTGAGGGCTGGCTGTACAGGAAAGGGCTTTGCTGAAAAGGACCTGAGGGTGCTGGTGGATGAGAGCAATACGCCCTTGCTGCAAAGTCAGCTACATCCAGGACTGCATTAGCAAGAGGTTAGCCAGCAGGGCAAGGGATTATTCTTCTCCATTTGGCACTTGTGAGACTATACCCGGAGTATAAATCCTGATCTGGGCTCCTCAGGACATAGAAGACATTAATATACTGAAGCACGCCCAGTTGAGAGCCACCAATGTGGTCACAAGACTGAAGCACAGGGACATACAAGAAGCTGGAAGAGCTGGGTTTGCTCGACTGGCAGAGAAGGAAATCTCTCTTCCACTGTTTCATGGGAGGGTGAGGACAAGATGGAGGCACACACCTCTTGGGTGCACAGTAGAAGGACAAGAAGCAATGGAGAGAAGTTAGAACATGGTAAATTTCTGACTCAAAATAATAAAAATGTTTCTAATGTAGAAGTGGTCAAAACTTCAATTGGGCTGCTCAGAGAGAATGTGGAATTCAGATCCTTGGAGCTATTTAAAGCTCAACATGGCAACCTGATCTAGCTGAACCTACTTTGAGCAGGATTAAAGACCCCCATAGGCACCAGAGATGGTCTTGAATCTATGATTCCAACTTCTTAGCATCAGGTGCTGTAGTTTAAAAAGACAGCATGCCTGATGGATGCAGCAACATAAAGTAAAAATGTGGGTGGAATCATTCTCTACTCTATAAAGCACTCCATGGCACTGTATTACTGTATAGGCATCTGAGGTAGCCATTTGCATTTCTTATTAATTATTCTAATCAGAGCCATTAACATAATTGTTTTTAATTGCTTATGAAATGGCAAAGAACCTTGCTGAAAGGAAAGGGCTATATAAAATATTGCTAGTTTTATTTCAAGGAATGTTTTCTACTTAGTGTTAGCTGAATTCCAGTAAGCACAAATTTAAATTTATCTCCAATCTATGCCAAATTGAATTTGTTTTTCTGTGTGAATACATAAGGACAAAGTAGAATGTTTATGATTTTAATAGTGCTACAAAATGATCTTTTTAATAATGCATGAAGTAACCAGAGTTATTGCAAACTCAAGTACTGAGCAGATTGTAACAACCTTTCAGTAAACATTATTGTCTTACTCAAGTTCTGCAGATCTTCTGGATGCTAAAAGGAAATCCTGTCCTGCCTCCATGGCCTCTTTGTGAAAGAAAAGGAAAGAAGAATCAAATACAGAAACCACAAGAGGAAAAAGCACACTGTTCCCTGCACCAAAGCACTTTACATGTGATTATAAGTCAAATTATATATTCTTTCCCCAGTGCTTTAGCAGAGTTTGAGTTTGTGGTCAGAAAATGTCAGCCTTCACTGAGTAATGTGCTTTTTGCAGGCCAGCCAGCTTTCCAAAATGAGAAGTCTGTAGCTCCTGTAGTCTTACACATACAAGTATCTTAAATGATGAACCTGAGGTACCGATGCTTTAAAACAGTTGTATTAAAAAAAACAAAACAAAAAAAAGAAGTGTGCTTTTATTTTCACCCTGTTTTGAACATTTTCAGTCCTGCCATCGTTTTTCAGTTTTCTACCTTATTGAGCCATAAACTTGTTATAATAAGCAAAAGGTGAATTTTTGAAGTAATCCTCATCACCTGAACCCTGGAATTGTGGTTGCAAAGGAACTATAAAATGTCACAAGGCTTGCAATGAGAGAGAGTTGGCTACGTTCTGACAACCATTGTCAGTGAGACAACAACAGCTGCTCTGAACAATCACTACAGCCACAAAAGAACAAATTAATGGTCAGTCAAGGAGAAGCAAAATGGAGAACAAAGGATAAACTTGACCAAGCTATGACCAACCAAGGGTAAACTAAACCAACTTTCCCATATGTTTAATAGAAATAATAGCACTTATTTATGGAGCAGGGTTATTTTCAGTTATCAGTTCATTAATATTTGTGAAATGCTGGGGAATCCTTCATGGAATATGCAAAATAATGCAAAATGTGAGCTAATTAGCGTATGTGCTGCTCCAAGGCAACCACAGCTTGTCTGAGGGAGGGAGGCTGTGTAGGTGAGGGGGCAAAACAGAGAAGAACAAACACAGGCAAATGGCAATAAGATGTGTCGCAGAGGAAGAAGAGGAAATGAAATCGTAGGGGACATGTAAGGAGGAAATGAGGCCACATGGGACAAAGAGGTGATGCCTGGGTTCCTGCAGTATAGAGACACAGGCACAAATCTGTATGTAACTGAGCTTTATTACTAGTGCTGCTTATGCAGTACCCTGTTGTTTGTTGTCTGTTTTGGGGTTTGTTGGGTCTTTCTGTTTTTTTTGTTGGTTTTTGTTTTGTTTTGTTTTTTTAAGAAAAAAACTAAGTATAACCAGAGAAAAAGAAGTATAACCAGATGGGAGTATTTAACTGACCATCTGCAAGTACAGAGGGTAACTGTGCATTTTTCAGGGTATAAATCTTCCAAGAGAAGAAATCAAAAGCTTTATACTTCTGTATTGCTGACAAAGTGAGCATTGTTTGAGAACAGATTGCAACGTGCACTTGAACAATAGCTTTAGATCAGTGGAAGCACAGAATACGGCTGTGACATATGTTTCAATTAAAACAAAAATAATTAGCCACCCATTAGTGTCATGAAAAGCAGAGGCTATTAACAGTAAATGCTCTTTAGCAATCGTATTATCTCCACAAAGCTGTTTCCAGTGTTTTTTATACCCCTTATTGATAATTTTTTCCACTGTGTAGGTATCTGCCTGTTGTTTTACATATTCCTCCTCAGCTTCCTTTATATCTTGGTACTGTAGGAAACTGATTAGTGGGGGAGACTGTAATGATACAAAGGCTCTTCACCTGGAGGCTGCCTGTTGTCATATTGTGCGTCAGTGTTGTTATTACATGACAGCCAATTTTACTTCTGGAGAACTGCTGCATAGATCACAAAAAGTACGGTCTTGCTGACTGCAGTGGGAAGCTTTGATGGTATTCTGGTAAAGAACACAGAGACTGAGTGCCTTGCACTTCTCACCTCTAGTAATGGATTTTCCAAGTCAGTGTTAGAGCACTGTCACTGAGTCCTGAGTTTTTCATACTAAGGAGAAACCAGAATTACTGAGATGATGGTTTTGCTTGTGCCTGTGTCAAGGATCAAAGCCATTAATTTTTAAAGAAAACTTTCTACTATTGAAAGTATTTATTTCAATATTAAAAAAAAACCTTATTTCTAAATGTACCTGTGGCCCTCTTTCTCCAAAAGATTCTGTTCAGAACAATGTCAAAAAGCATGCAGTTACTATTCTCATACCTAGCTCATGTCCTTTAATATTGAGATAACTGAGACCCAAACTGTACTCATTTCTTTTGTAGTATAAAATGATATCTTTCAAAAGAGTTATTACCTTTTTATAAATGGACTCTTTTCCTAAGAACTGTAACTTTATTTTAAGTTAGAATTCCACCTGCTTTTAGGAGTCTAGAGACTCACACAGGGATAACTGTTTAGAATTCTACTGTTATTTTCAATGCAATTCATGTTTAACACAATCCCTAATTCAGCACAATTCTTATTCTTTACAGTCTCACTGGACATCTCAGCTGATGTATATAGTAAGTGCTGTTGGTAGATATTTGTATTCAGTTTAGTAGCATTAAATTTTCTGTTTTTTATCTTTTCAGATGCTTGTAATCCTTTGTGTAATAACAGGTTTGGTTTTTGCTAGCTATATATGTATGGCAAGATGCCTGGTATCAGCTGAGCTGTGCAAATGAAAATATCAGAATATCCCTGTGTGTGAACTCTGCAAGAAACAAATACTACCCTCTGCTTAAAAAAAAAAAAGGCACAAACCAACAAAACCCAACACCCTTGCTGAAGAAAGCTTTGGTCTTCTGAAATGAGTGTAAGGGAAAAGTCATTATGTGTAAATTCTACCCTGTCAGAGAACTCTCACCCAATTTATTCTGTTTACAAATTTGGTCTAATAATGATTATTTCTCACACCTCTTGAGTGTCAGATTTACTGATGAAATGTGCTAGGGAATGAAATAATATTCAACTATTGTACAGCTGAATTCAACTATTGTACAGTTACAGTATCATAAGTTTAAGTTTTATAGTTTGATGATAATTTATTAATGCCTTGCTTATGATTACAATTAAGACTGAATTTTTTCTTTTGAACCCATGAATAAAGTGTACAACTCATTTAACTACTTGCTGAGATCCTCCCATATCCAGTTAGTCTACCATCACCCCCCGTCACAGCACCCAGACAGCATGTACGACTCTTCTGAAAATGTATCCTCAGCATAATTTACAGAGATTAACCTACTAATACCGATGTTTAACTATCTGTGAATCAGTACAGATAGTTTAATATAACATGAATTTCCAACTATATTTTCTGTTTGTCTCTTCTGTTCCCCATAAATGTGTTAAGATTCCAGTTTTGTATAGTCTGATGCCGCTTCAGGTTTCCTTGGAATTATGAAATACAAGTTCAGGAAAATTTCTTTTATGTCTTACTATATATTACTGCATAGCACAAATCCTGCAACACCTGCTGCCCACAAAGTAAAGTGCATATCCATAGCTAGGCTGGTTAATCTATTGTGAGAATGGTGGATGACCTTCACTGGGTTATGTATCAATAAAAATAGATGGGGAATTCAGACAGTTTTCTTGCAAGAACCAATACCCCCCCTCTCCTTCCCCACCCCCCCACTCCTCCATCCCCTGATATTTTATGTCTAGATCCAAATTTAAGAATTTCCAGAACAAGTAAAAAGATAAATACACAGAAAGCAACTTGTTCTGACCTCAGACCTGACTCTGCTATGAGCAGAAGGTGGGACTAGAGACATCCAGAGGTCCTGTCCAACTCGAATTACCCTGTGGTCCTATGATCTTGCAGTCATGCTCTATACTAATCCAACCAGATGTGGTATGCCTGCATTCAGATCCAGCAGCAATAGTCCAACCAGTGGGTGGTTTGACTGGTTAGTGGAGGGGTAAACAGATTCACGGGACCCATTCTGTTATCAAGCAATGTTAATAAAAACCTGACATGCTCCAGACTCAGCAAAACCATCTGTAGTCACAGATAGATGATACAGGCACAAACACACCTGTACCATGCCTACTCTTCAATTTCTAAAGCCAGCCTACCCACACACCCTAGAGTAAACTGGGTGCCCGCCAAACCACAAGATTATGAAACAAGGAGAGGCACAGGGTGAGCAGCAGCAGTTTACACTTACTGTATTTTCCTTTTTGCTCCTCTGTGTCTATTAATACCTCTGTACATTTGGAGCATAAGTTCTTCAGAAGATAGAATAGGGTTTTCTCCTGAAGTCTTACGTAGTGACTAAGGAGGTTGTCCTGGGTTCAGCAGTAGCAGTCATTTTTCTCCTTCTTGGTAGCTGGCGCAGTGCAGTGTTTTGACTTTTGGCTTGGGAACAGAGCTGATAACAATGATGTTTTGGTCTGGCCAAGGACTTTGTGAGCCTCATGCTCTGCCAGGGAAGAGGGGAAGCCAGGAGGAAGCAGAGACAGGACACCTGACCCAAACTGACCAAAGAGGTATTCCATACCACAGCACATCATGCCCAGGATGTAACTGAGAGTTACTGAGAGGGCTGGTGGACTGCAGGGTTGGAGGAGGCATCGGTCGGTGCTGGGGGCGGGGGGGAGGGGGGGCAAGCTATCAGTCGGCAGGTGGTGAGGTGTTGTATTCTCTTCCCTTGTTATTCCCTTTATCATTATTATCATTGGTGGTAGCAGTAGTGATTTGTGTTATACCTTAGTTACTAAACTGTTCTTGTCCCAACCCATGGGAGTTGAATTCTTTTGATTCTCCTCTCCGTCCCTCTGGGAGCAGGGGGAGGGAAAGAAGAGGGGGGAGTGAGTGAACGACTTGCCTGACTGGGTTTAAACCATGACAGAGGTGAAGTGCTTTGGACTCTTGATTTGTGTTTCTAGGTGTTATGGTAATTCAAATACTGTGTAATAACAACTACACAACTCTTAAGAGACTTTCAGGGCAGGGAGTTAATTCTGTCTGTTCAACTAACATACTTCTAAGAGAAAAGCATCTATTCTTTAACCAAAGTCCTCAGGAAATACAGGCTGATCCATTTCTCATGGAGGCATATTCCAACCATTAATGTCTTCCACTGTGAAAAGTTGTGTAGAATTTCTAATTTGAATTTGTCTGATTTCAGTTTATAGGCATTTTTCTCGTTATGCCTCTTACTGTGAAAGATTAGAAATCACTGTAGCCGCCTTCCAGTTCTCTTTTTGAAAAGCCAAAGAGATTGTGCACTTTAAGTCTTCCTATGCAAAGAATCTTCTCTAGCCTCAAATAACTTCTTGACATTCTTTCGACAACAAGGGCACTAGAGGCTAGTGCAGTATTACCACAAGAATCTCCCCAATGGCACATGTAGAAGGAAAATAATTTCTCTTTCTACTTGCCACATCAGTGGTTACGTAGTCAAGGATTCCATTATTTGCTCATATTGTAGGACTAGACTGGAATTAATTTTTGCTGTCACCCCCATCTCTGCAGACATGATCTGCTCATTCTATTTTTAAGTAACTCCACTGATGCCTATATTAAAATACACTGTATCTGAAAGGGATTAATTTACTAAACAATGCAGATCTTTTGATAACCCCAGCTTGCAATTAATTTCCCATTTAACCACTCTTTCTCTTCACAATACATGAGTTTTGCTTTGTCATTGCTGAAAATACTAATACATCTATTTCTTTTTCTCTGTATTAAGATGCTTGTGCTCTCCTGCCAGCTTTCCTGAGCAACTATACCCTTTGGAGCTGCTGTTCAGTGGATACCACCTACCAGTTTCCTGAATAAACTGGTCTGTTCCCTTAAAACCAAGTTCTGTATTCTGCTGCTCTCCTTCTGCCCCCACAGGATCATGAACTCCATTCCTCACTCACTTCAGGCCAGGCTCTGATAGCCAAGCCATCAATTACATCCCCCAGTTCTTCCTTGTTGGTGAAGAACAGATCCAGCTGTGAATCACCCCTGGTTGGCTCAGCCAGTATCAAGAAGTTATCCATGGTGTTTTTCAAAATCTTCTTGACTGGTTGCATCCCAATGCGCTGTGTTGTAGCAGATGTCAGGCAGGCTGAAACTCACTCAAAACCTGGGGTCTGTGATCAAGAGACTTCCTTGCTCCTAGTTAAAGTTCTCACCAGGTTGGCTGGCCAGTAGGCAGAGATGCTCTTTTTGCGTTTTGTTAGGTGGATCTTGTCTCTCCCCAGTGACACAAGATCTCACAGACATGGTTTCTCAGACAGGGTTAGTTACCATGCTGATCTATATGCATTGCAGTCACTGTTTTCAAAGCTCTGTCTCCTCAAGCATACACAAACACATGCACAATCCCGGCCTACCCACCCAGTTTTTTTTTAGCTCGTCAAATACCTGGCATACTTAATTGTGAATCATTCCAATCACCATAAGGGTCTTAATGATGACAATTAAGTGATAATTTCCAATTCTCTTACTCGTTTGCTGATATTTTACCTGGGTTTTACAGTCAATAGTATTGAAAATGATTCTGCATTTCCCCTTGTTCTATATGGTGATAGTTCAGTTTGCTGCTAACACAGCACCTCTGTTTACATGGCACTGCAGGAAAAAATCAGCCTCACTCTAGGTTACTAATTTAGCATCTTCCAGCTGCTCTGCTTAGTCTCCAGCCATGATTAACCCACACCTGGCAGACAGAGGCCAGCATAGCCCTACATCCCCCACTATCTGTGAAATGTGTCTGATACCCCACAATACCTGGTTTTTCTCTTGGAACTACAGACAGAAAGAGCACTTCACACCAAGTATATTTTGCCTTCCTTCTCTAATCTGTGGGCAGGAAGAAACTGGAAGGCAATCTCTGACTTTCAAGTGCCTTTCAAGGTTCCTGCTGTTGTCTATGGCCTGCGCAGTTCCACTTGATGCCACATAATTGGTTCCAAACTGAATTATCTCCCAGATAACAGTGTAAGCTTCTGCAGTAGTGCAATTGCTTTTTGTGTTTTTGCTTTGGGGAGACAACATGCTGTCATATTTTCCTGGTGTCATTTCCTGTCAACTTTGTCCACTCTGGATCATACAGGAGTGGCATGTTTACTTAATACTGTAAGGAATGGTGCTGCAGACGTATTTGGCAGCATTGTATTTCAGTACATGAACTGCTGGATATCTGAAGGTGTGACACTTTTAGCTGGCCAAATACCCATTCCTGCTTTTTTTGCACGTAAAGTGTCCAATCCAGTTCTTTTGTTTCTATTCTCATTTCCCTGATGCTGTCCTCCCCCATGGTTTCTGTGGCAACAGCTTCTGAATGTAGTCATCCAAGAGGCATTCGTTTTCTGAAATACTATACTTTTGATATACACACTTCTAGACCACAGATATTATGTAAAGGAACTGCTTGAGGATACTTCAGGTTGCAATAGATTTCAGTTATAAGACTCCTGAAGTCATGTTCTTTATGTTTCAGCTGAAGTAACTATTTTAATTAGTTTAGTTGCTAAAAATTGTTTACTTCTGAAGATGATAGAAAGTATCATGGTTTGACATTACACACATTATCTTTTTTTACAGTGAAAGGATGCATTTGTGATCCAAGGCCTTATGTGCATTATTCTTACTAATAATGCATTTTCATCTGCAAAATATATCCCATATATGAAAAGAGGCAGGGGGGATGTATCTTAGATAGCTTTATGCTTTTTTTAATGCAGGTAGGAACATCTGGAACGACTCACCCAGATTTCTGTTAGTCTGCACAAATAGGCATATCTGGATGATTCACCTCCTTCCCAAACAGACACTTCTAGTGACTGATACAAATGACAACTCTACAGATCAGCTTTATTATCCAAGATGTCTGAGACTAGGGTATGCAAATCCCAGACCACAGAAACCAAACAGTTGGTCATCTGGAGAGGAACTGAGATAAAGAACTCACAGGTGCTGTGTGCATCTTCATGTGCCCCTTCTGCTGGGAGGCACCTCAGGGCTTTGAGAAGACAACGGCTCTTCAGATGCATGAAGTCTAAGGTGAGCCTGCCATTATTAGTAGGTAAAAGTTTTCTACTTCTGAATTTGCCTTATTCTTCAGTTGCGAGTTAAACCTGTTCACTCTCCGCACCTCTCCAGGCCACAAGGGAACTCCTTCCCTAGAAGCGGCTCAGCACTTGCATTGAGTAGCACCCACCAAAACCAGGCCCCGCTCCCTCCCTCTTCCAATGCCCTCACCCAGCACCTGCCCGTTAGATCTCAGTTGTAGGCCACAGGAGTTAGTAAGAAGGAAAGGGGAAAGTGGGAAGGGGAGGGAAAGGAAAGGAAGGACTGAAGGCGGAGGGCAACTCTCCCGCCTCCCCCTGCCATGCTGGGGCGCAGGACCCCGCCTGAGGCGGCCAGCGAACCGCCCCCGCCCGTTCTAACGGCTCACGGCGCGCCCCCACCCCGCCCCCTCGGCTCCGCGCATGCCTGTTGGGGCGCGCTCGGCGCCGGGGGAGACGCCGAGGAGGCGTGGCCAGCCCCGGGGCGGTGCCGCGGCTGGAGGGGCGGGCGGGAGGCCGCCGGTGACCCGGCGGGGCTCGGGCGTGGCTTGAGGCGGGGCTGCGCTGCGGGGCGGAGGGGAGCGGAGCGGAGCGGGGCGGAGGGGAGCGGAGCGGAGCGAGCCTCAGTGGCGCCGGCCGGTACCCGCGCGCCCGGACGTTGGGGCCGCTGGGGCCGCACGCGCCCCGGGGCGGGCGCTGCCCGGCCCCCGTCGCTCTGCCTTCGCTTTCCCTTCCCTTCCCCTCCTACTCCCGCCCGGCACAGCCCGGCTCCGTTCGGCTCGGCGCTGTGATTGGGCGGAAGATGGCGCTGGGCGGATGGAAATCCTAATGACAGTCTCCAAAATCGCCTCCATCTGTACCATGGTGAGGGAGTGAGTGAGGGGCCGGGGCAGCTCGCTCCCGGCTGCTCGCGGGTGGAAAGGGCGGTGTGGAGGCTGGGTTTGCGCAGCGCCCCGGTGGGCGGCTGGGTGGTGCGGAGCGGAGCGCTGGGACGGAGCAGCGGGGAGGCGGCTGTGGCCGTGGGTGGGGATGGGAAGCGGAGCGGGGTTAATCGGCTTTGGGAGGCTCAACCTTGGTGCAGACGCTGATGGGATCGGGTTGGGCTGGGCGCCGGGGGCAGTCCTGTCTGTGAACGGGACAGGGAGGAGTGCGGGGTTGCTGAGCGCGGCTCCTCCCCGAAGTGTGCCGGGAGCCGGGGCATTGCCTTGAGTTCGGGTGGCTTGTTGCAGGTGTGTTGCTCTTAGCGTAGGGTGCCTCCTTGTCCCTGTGCACTCGGTAACTGTCCCTTCTCCCTGCGTACCTCACTCCTGCGGTGGAGCAGTGCCCGTGAGCGGGCGGGTTACCCGGAAAAGTGCTCGCACCTTGCATGAGCTGCTCAGCCGCGCGCGCTCCACGCGCTGGCTGTAATTGGACTTGTTCGCTTCGATCCGCGTCCTGATAGGAGCGATCCTCCGCTGATCGCGCTTTCATTACACTCTCCCTTGAAATTAGAGCTATAAGCAGGTGTGATAAGGTTCTCTCGGGTCTTTTTAAAGAGGGGTGGATTCACTGGTGGAGGAATGCTGAATTTAAGGAAGGAAATAGCCCTTAGTCAATAGAAGTTACTGTTACTCGTCATGGAAGAGATGTATTGATGATTCATAGCTGAGGATCTTGCATTTGTGCTGTTTTCTACCTATTCCATGGCCAAGTGAAAGTTCTTGTTCTCAAATCTGTTTCTGTGAGGGAGGGGAAGAGATACTTGAGGGGAAAAAAACTAGATGCACTCTGTCATCTAGTTTTTTAATTTGCTGAATTGGGATTATAATGTCTTGTAACGTCAAACAGTGGGGAATGCTCACGTTTTATATTACTGGAAACTGATTTATGGTTTTCATAAATCTTGCTGCAAAGAGGCTTTAAACAGGAGTTTCAGAGGTGGCTCATGCGAACTTTGTATGAGCATCTGTAAGTCCGTGTGGTGAGATTGCTCAGGTGGGGTGTTGGTCTGCTGGAGCAGTAGTTTTCTGTGATATGGGAGATCACTTCCTTTTGTCTGGACTTGGAAAGTCTGACTTCTTGAATTAATGAGCTGTATACCAGCACCTTTATGCGGCCAAATGTCGTAGGACATAGATTTTAGGAGTTTTCATTCTCTGAAGTAGTTAGATTTTAGGTTATACTGTTGACGTGTCAGTGTGGTTGACCCTTGACCTGGGACCACCTTGTTTTATTGCCATTCTAACTAACATATTTTCACTTGCAGCTGACCACTAGCCATTGTGTCAGTATAAATCCAGTGCTGGCCCTAGATTAGGCCCACTGAAAGAAGAGGCCTAAACTTTTCTGCTTCTGGACAGCACAGAAGTTGTATTTGTGGACTGGCCAAACAGCTAGTTTAAGGTTATTCTGTATGTATGCTTATTAGAAATTACATTATGTCAGTGCCATTTAGGTCAGTCCCAAATCGATTAGTTTCAACTAAAAATCTTCTGATTAACTAAAGTGTCTATATCCATGAAGCTGAAATTCTGATGGAAATTGGGCATTATCTGTCCAATCGTAATCATGTGCACCGAGATGGATAAATTCCAGGCATAAGGTTTTTCCTGTGCATTTCTGATGCATGATCTTGAATAGTACTGTGAGGCGGGACAGCTGGTATAGGATACCTGCTTTAAAAGTTCTTTCACACTTAATAGATAGTGTGAGATTGTGCTTAAAAATATTTCCGTAAAGATAGTGTGGAGAAGCACTTGGTATTTACTGTGGAATTGTTTAGACCAGTGTGGTTGTGGTCAGGCAAATCTATTTAATTCTAACAAGAGTCATATACTCATGTTTAAGCATATGTTTTGCAAAACCAAAAAGGAATATAATTGCTGAGTAATACTATTTTTTTCCCAGCAGTTCTTCTTTGTGTCAACACACTGTTTGCTAAACTGCCAACTTCTTAAAAATCTGTACAA